CCTAACCCTAACCCTAACCCTAACCCTAACCCTAACCCTAACCCTAACCCTAACCCTAACCCTAACCCTAACCCTAGCCATGCTGGCTGGGGAATTCTGGGAGTTGAAGTCCACTCATCTTAAAGTGGCCAGATTTGGACAACACTGCTCTAAAATATTAGCTATCCCTCCCAGCTTTGTGTTATCTGCAAACCTGACAAACCTTCCCTCCTCTGTCTCATCTAAGTCACTGGCAAAATACGTTGAGCAGCCCAGGGCAGAATCCGCTCGATACGCCTCTTCAAGCCAAAGTGGAGTCATTAACTGGCACTCTTGGGGTACGGTCATTCTGCCAAATGTGAGTCCATCTACAGTAGTAAGAACAAGCTAACACTAAGAGAATACAACGAGAGAGTTTGTCAAAGATTTTGCTGAAGTCCAGGTGCACTGTATCTATGGCATTCCCCAATCTACTAAGCTCTTAATTCTTAAATATTAAGTATTAAATTAATAGTAGTTAGACTTGCAAGATTTGTTTATGACAAACCCATATTGACCCCCATGAATTCTAGCACACCTATTCAAGTGCTCAGAAACTGACACTTCTATAGTCCTACTCCCCCTTTTTGAAGATGAGGACAACATTTGCTTTCCAGCAGTCTTCTGGGACACGGAATTTGCAGATTGCCAACAGTTACTTCAGGCCCCTAAGATGCAGTCCATTTGGCCCTAGATACTTGAATTCATTTAAATGTGCTAATTTTTCTCTTACTGTCAGCTTGTCCATTCAAAGCTGCAGTTGTCTATTTCCTTACTATCAGTGGCATGATGATGACTAGCGAGACCTCCATTTACCTTCTTAGAGAAGAGAGATAAATAGGAGTGAAGTTCTGCCTTCTCACTTACCAAATCGCCACTTTCTTCTTGCAAAGACATACAGGCAGTCCTCTACTTGCGAACTTTCATGTTGTGAACTTTCACCAATATGAACAAGATGGGCCCGGAAGTAAGAACCGGAAGTCGGCGCCGGAAGTTGGGAGAAGGCAGGGAAGGGTTAGTTTGCATTGGAGTTGAAGTTCCCAGAAAGGGTTGGTTTACACATCCCCGGGTGAGGCAGGAGAGGGGGCAGAGGTCCCCTGCCTCGCCCAGTGACAGAGTGCACTGCATAAACTCACCCTTTCTGGGAACTCCAGTGCAAACCTCCAACCTCCTGGAAGGTGGGAGAAGGCAGGAAAGGGTTAGTTTTCAGCACGCCTCTGTCCCCTTTCCCCTCTTCTCCCCCCCCCCCCCGCCTCCCCCAGCGACGACTGGCAGCAGAAGATGGGGCTCCTCTGCCCACACCGCTGCCCTGCCTCCCTCCTCCTCTTTTTTTTACTTTTTACTTTTTACTTGGTAGTTTACTTACCTCTTGGAAGGTAACCCGTTCATAAGTAGGAGACTGTCTGCACATCCCTGTGGCTTTCCTTTTGTTTCTAATCGACCCAAAGAGCCCTTGCTTGTTGCTTTGGGTACCTTTGAATCCTTAGCCCTTTCTGAGCTTTGCAGGGTTTGACTACCTCGTACTCTTCTTTGGTTCTGTTCTGTTCACCCTTTCAGAGAGCTCTGTGTGAATGCATGCTGGCCTCCTTAGATTTCCCCCAGTTTTCCTTCTTGTAGGAATTGTTTGTAATTGTCCATTCAGACTTTTATTTCACAGGATTTTGCACCCTTCCTGGACTCTTCTCCTTCAGGATTTCAAGCCACTGGAGCTGACCAACTTTCCCTTAAAGTTCATTGCTGAATGCAGGGTTTTGTTTTTGTGCCTTCAAGTCAGTTTTCTTGGCAAGGTTTTTTGGAAGTGGTTGGCCCTGGCCTCCTTCCTAGGGCTGAGAGAGAGGGACTGGCCCAAGGCCACCCAACTGGCTTTTGTGCTCAGGCAGGACCAGAACTCACGGCCACCTGGTTTCTAGCCTGATGCCTTCACCACTAGACCCAACTGGCTCTCATCAAATGCAGCTTTAATTCTTCTCAATTCTTTCCTGCTTGAATATCATGAATTCAAAGATTCCACAATCACTTTCCTCCAAGGCACCGCTTCTTCGCCACTTCTTCCCTGTTAGTGAGGTCTGAGTTCAGAATAGCAGATCCCTTTGTTGTCTTTTCCACCTTCTGCAAATGAAGTTTGACCTATGACTCTTGGCACAGTGAGGTTCCCAGCCAATGTCTGGATAGTGGAGATTCCCCCATTATCATTGCCACATGCCTCTTTGAGTGACTAATCATCTCACGCAGGAAGGCCTCATCGGCCTGCCCAGGCCATCTGGAAAAAACTCCCACAGAGGCACCACAATTTTTCTCTCCTTTTATTCCTGCCCAAACACTTCCCATAAGATTTCCATGCTCTAATTCCTGAACTGTGAAAGTATTCTTTTCCTTGATCTATGGCAGTGTTGTCCAAACTTGGCCACTTTAAGATGAGTGAACTTCAACTCCCAGAATTCCCCAGCCAGCCATGGGTGGATTCT